CCAAGTTGCCTAAAGAAACATGTCGGATTCTCATTCAGCCAGTCTAGACATCAAACCATCCAACACTACCTTGACACCGCGTCTTCGCGTGCAACTTCAGATGGTGCAAACGTTGATGTAGCAGCAGCTTCCTTACATCAAAGGAGCTGACGGGAAGTGGGAAGAGTGCCCCAACCACCGTACAGCACTCTCACAGACTCCCTGCCCAACGTACTTGCAATGTATGGTATGACCATTGCAATGAAATTCAAAAAATTGCCACCCGGTGTCAAAGTGGCAAAAAAATTACTTGCTGCTAGATGTCTGGGGGTGGTTCATCATCACTGCGGTCCCGCTGGAATCGCTGCTGCTGCCAAAAACTTCGCCGTGCAAACGCTTCATGGCAATAGCCCCCGGTCAAACATCAAAATCAGGTTGTCAAAAATGCCCCGTGAACTCAAAAAGTATGTCACTATGCGGTAACAAAATCCAAGTCACAAGCAAAAAATACCATTCCATGAAATCATTGAAATCACCATGCTCAAGCCCAAACCCTATGGGCCGATGGCCCTAGATGACTATGCTCAGCGTGTGGCACTGGCGCTCCAATATGTTGTCCAAGCAGATTTGGATCACCGGAATCAAGAGGTTTGTTTCATACCAAGTTTGATTGTGCACGCCAAGGCCTGGGGTGAACCCTTTTTCAAACCCAACATGTGTCTTTTACATACATTGGGGCTCCATTTGGGGCTGCTCATGGGCTGCCCCCTGGGCTCCACATTTTGCATACGGACATGGCCACAGATAAACAGGGTAATGCTTGATATAAGCTAGTAGTTAATAGGTAGTAGGTAGTGGTCGTCGTCGTCGTAGTAGTAGTAGTAGGAGCAGCAGCAGCAGCAGTAGCAGTAGCAGCTGTAGTAGAAGTAGTAGTAGTAGTAGCAGCAGCAGCAGTAGTAGTAGCAGCAGCAGTAGTATTAGTAGTAGCTGTTGATGTAGTAATGTGTAGTAGTTGTAGTAGTTCGAGTAGTTCGAGTAGTAGCTGTAGTAGTTGTAGTTGTAGTTGTAGTTGCCGTGGTAGTTGTAGCTGTAATGTAGTGTGCTGTAATTAGCGTAGCGTAATGTAATGCAATTGTAGTTGCAGTTGTCTATCTATCTGTCTATCTGTCTATCTATCTGTCTGTCTATCTGTCTATCTATCTATCTATCTAGCTATCTATCTATCTATCTATCTATCCATCCATCTATCTATCAACTGTCTATCCATCTATCCATCTATCCATCTATCCATCTATCCATCTATCCATCTATCCATCTATCCATCTATCCATCTATCCATCTATCCATCCACCCATCCATCCATCCATCCATCCATCCATCCATCTATCCATCTATCTATCTATCTATCTATCTATCTATCTGTCTCTCTGCAAACTTGAAAACGAAGCTATTCTGCGAGACTTCCTCAATTGTTGAACTTGACAGCATCAAAAACGAAACAATTCTGCGAGACTTCCTTCAAAAATGGAAAATTGAGTGCAGAGCTGACGGCCTCGTACCAATGGGTTGTGCGATTTTTCCGCTCACCCTGTCTAAAGTACTGCGCCTGCCACGAAAAAGTGATGCCAGGTCACAGAAGTGCTGCACCTGTCACGCAAAATCATCTTCCCAAAACTGAAAATCTGATGCTCCAAAATGCAACCCCTCTCAGGAAATCAGCACCCGGACCTCCTAACATCTCTGATGAACATATCTCTTGTACTGCGCCTGCCACGCGAAATGCATCTTTCCAGATCCTCTTCAAATGTCCCACGCCTGCCATCGTTTTGGGAAATGCGACAAAACCCTCACGTTTTGCTCTCTTTTGATAAGGTTGCACAATCCCTTATGCCTGCCATGCGAAACGATATCTGAACGTCCAAAAGTGGTCCGGACATGTGGTTTTTGAAACTTCGAAATGTGCTTCGCGCGACAACGGCGTGCACAATTTCGACATGTCAACTTCCAAAAGTGCTCCGAGACCATCAATTTTTAACACTTTTGACTTTGAAATGTGCTTCGCGCCACAACGGCGTACACTTTTTCGACATGTCAACTTCCAAAAGTGGTCCGAACATGGTGTGCTTTGTACATTTTGACTTGGAAATGCGCTTCGCGCCACAACGGCGTGCGCTTTTTCGACCTCTCAACTTCCAAAAGTCGTCCGAACATGAGATGCTTTGTACGTTTTGACTTCCAAATGTGCTTCGCGCCACAGCGGCGTGTAATTGTTCATCTCTCATCTGGCCAGATTGCTCCGCACCCGCCGCTTTAGCGAGCCTACTTTTCGACCCTCCGGAGCCACAAATCATTGGAAAAACACAGTGTTTCGCGACTTTCCTACCCTTTTGCCCACCTGCATCTTCTTTCCTCCGACGCTTTCTCTTCTCTTATCTTCTCTCTTCTGCTCTTCTCTTCTCTGACTCTTCCCATCTCTGCTTTTCATCTGTCCATATTGTCGGAAGTTTGACTTCTAAACTCCCTTCGACTATAGATATTGATATAGATATAGATATTGATATAGATATTGATATGGAAAATATATAAAGATAATGACAAGAGATAATTTAAATGTGTTTAAATTGTCCCCAGTGAAATTGCCTCCAGGAATTGTTTGGCCTTGCCAAGCTGCAGAGTCTCCAGGAAACAAAGCTGACCCCGTGGCCATCTGCACGGGAAAATCTTCAAATCTGTTGGATCACATCTTGGGTTGGTCAAGGAGCACATCTTGGACACTTTCAGATACTTTACAGAATTGTTTTGGCTTCTGGGCTTCTGCATCTGCTGTAATGTTGCTAAAGCAATGTTATAAACCAGCCATGTTTTGATGGTTTTTTACCCAGGATGGTGGATGCTATTGCTTTACGAATATTGATTTGGAAGGCAATCCGGCCTCGGCTATCACGCATCCAATGCTCCACAGGTCAACTGGCAAGCTGTATCTCAGTGGCGGATTCACTCAATCTATCGGGTGTTTTTTTCCATGCGCTCAGTGACGTGCTTTTGGAACCATTTCCCCCTCTGAAGTTTCTCAACAACATGTCACTGTCAACATCAAACACAAAAGTTGAACATGATTCCATTGATTCTTGCATTTCTAATGGCTTCGCGGCAATGTCTAAGGCAATCACTTTTCACTGCCAAGCAGTATCTCTGGAGGACGGTACCACACAGTGACCACCTCATGTGTGTACCTGCAAGACTGATGCGGCAACGGAATCCTCGATGCAAAATGATCCATGATCAAACCATCCAGCCACTGCTCCATGGATTTTTTTTCCCATATTGCATCCTCATCCACTCTGATCCACTCTGATCCACTCTGATCCACTCCGATCCACTCCGTGTTAGGTGAAACCGACAACCTGTGGTGCGATGGGCCAATGCCACATCAAACACCCAGGGCCAGCGGCGTCCGCAGAGCGGTTGGCATGAGAGGTTTCAAAGACAGCAGAAAAATGTTTGTAGCACCCCCAAAAGACAGTAACAACTATGATGGTGAACTGAATTGTTTTTTCTTGTTTTGGGGATTCGATTAACCATAACTTCAACAACTGCTTCAAAGATTTCAAGAGTCCCCAAGCCATGTAAAATAATTCACAAAGACTGATGCTGGGCGATGTGCCCAGCACGCCTGAAAGAAATGCTCGTCGAAGGAACTGTTCCGGTAAAGCCGGTCGGGCAAAATGTTCAGCTCAAAAGAGGTAAAGATGGGCCCATGTCCTCTCTGTCCGCTTGTCCTTGCTAAGTTCCTTCGAAGCGAACTTTTTTGGACAGGAAGCCACTTTTCAAACTGGCGCAACCTTTGAAACGCGAGCACAATGCTTGGAAGCTAAACTTGGGCATGTTTCGGCGAAGTTGTGCAAGCATTCTTTGCTTGGAGGGCATGGAAGATGGCCAAAAACACCACCGCATCTACTTTGATGGAAAATGAAACATAATGAACAGTGACTAAATAGTGATGAATCAGTGTTTTCAACCTGTGAAGCCATGTGGCACCTCCGCTGCTCATAGCTTGGACAGTAGCTTGCCATAGGGCTCAGGTGCAGGCGTCACAGTTGCCCGTGGCTTCATGCCAGCCTGGAACCGCGCATCAGTCGGGGATTGGCGATGGATTAAGGGATCAAAGTGATCAAAGTGATCAAACAAGCACGGACCGGCGGACCAGCATCTCATGAGTATTTTGCCCTCAGCACCCCATAGTTTTTCCGCTTCCGGAGAGGGCAGATCCTCTACACATCGCACATCATCGCACCTTCCGGAAGATCTCATCAATGAGGGCCGAATTCCTCACAGTGTCAGCGGGGCCCTTCGTCACGTATGCCCAAGGCATTCCCATGTTCCTTGGCTTGCGAGACTTGCGAGACTTGCGAGACACAAACAGAAAGAAAAAGCAGAGCACCGGAGTCACTTCACGCAGAAAGACTGACTTCAATGCTCTGGTGCAATTTGTCCGTATCGGAGTTGGGAAATGGTCTTTACGGCTCCTTTGTCTCTTGTTTGTATACTTCTTCATCCATCTCGTCATATGCCGGCACGGTTCTGTCCGCTTTTCTGGTGCGCGATTTCATCTGCGAAGCCCATCAACTGGTAGTAGAATGTATCGCCTCACAAGCACAACACAATGGAGGTGCTACTGGTGCTATGAGACAGTCGCAGACAACAGGACAGTCGCAGACAACAGCAGTCTTCATAAAGTGCTTCCCAAGATGCTTACTTCAACGCAACTCCCAGCATCACATCTTACAAACCATACAAAATCCTACATGATCATCACGATCATCATCCCATGGTCAATTGTATCATATTCTATCCCCATGAAATACCCCCAAATCCCTATGATTGATGGTGAAACATGGTGAAACCCTGAATGTATCCCCTCTCATCTGTTCATATATCTGTACCAAGTGGCGGCTTACCACGTTGTCGACTCGTTCGACATAGCTCTCGCCACTCCTCAGCATCTCCCAGAAACGACTCGTTCAAAAAAGGTATAGGTTCATTCTCCCGATGGCAGGAGGACCGGTATATTATATATATATAATTATATATACAGTATATATTTAATAATTGTGAATATATCAAATGCATCTTTGGAATGCTTTTGCATTTTTAGGAAATGGGATGAAAAGAAGAAAACAAGCATAAACAAGCAATGATTTTGCACATCCTGCGGCCGTTCTGCCCTTATACCCGCTACTCTGATCAAAGATGACCAAAGTTTGATCTGAGCAGCTCAGCAAACTGTTCGAGGGCGATCTCATTTGAGCTTTGGCCCTGGCCCGTAAACCATTCCTGGACACCTTGGGAGACCAAACCAGTAATCCATCACCATACTGCCATCAAATTCCGAGGCTTAAAATGGCTTTAAGCTCCACAGAATCTTCACTGATTTTTGCGGAAGAACCGCTCCAAGTCATACTGAGACCAGCTGAGACCAGCTGAGACCAGCACGAATGATTCCATCTGTCCCGGAGATGGTAAATTTCCTCAGCCCAGGGTGCCTTTGAAGAGACAAACCAGCACTGACCTCACTGATGTCAAAATGGGCCTCTTTCCGAGCGCCGGACGTGGGCGACTTGGCCATCTGTGGCAGGATCGAGCAGCCGATGTGTGCAGCAGCACCGCCTTGTGAACTCCATCCACGTCTCACCAAGTCTCACCAAGTCTCACCAAGTCTTATGGTCTCAGCTGCTCGTTATCCCAAACATGTCCTTGTCACAGAACCAGTTTCTGAGAGCCCTGACTTTGGAATCGCAAGTTGCAACTCATTGCTGAATCCACATTGGGATCCTCACTCCTTTGTTGCGCTAAGGGGATTAGAAGGCAATCAGAAGACAGGCTGTCGATGTTTTTTCCATCCCTCTATTCATCTTTATAAACCGCCGCCAAGAGACTGCTGTGCCTAGGAGTCACATTCAACAGGCATTCAACTTGCAATGAGAACTGGCGGCAAAACAATGCCATACTTGGGACAAATCTAACCTCCGGAGGTCCGCGTACATGTGTGTATGCACACGTATGTTGTATATTGTACATGACATAGACATATTAGACATATATTTAGCTAAATGTATAACTTACAATCACAAACATAATCAAACAAGGCTGAAGTTTCCACCTTTACTGTTTTCTGAGTGTACCAAGTGCAGGTACACCGGGTTGCATCCCCAATGATGTTTGCATTTCATGCCACGCCACGGTGGCGCTGACGACCATTGGCTCATCACCACAGAGAGCCCGAATGATCGCAACTCCGTGGACGCCTACGCCCATCAAGGCACCCGTCTTGGAGCAAACCATCTTTCCTCGGCACTGGCACAACTGGCACAACTTCAAAGGAGAAACCAGAGGAACCAATGGAAACCACTGGTCTGATAGGTTGTTCACTTGCCAATCTTTCAGCACATCTCCAACGTGTTTCAAGGAAGTTCCAATAATTCGTTTGACCTGTGCATTAATTTCTCGCCATGAGACATGCTGTTTGCACATGCCTCTGCCAAGCTTCCTTGCAACGAATGCCCAACTGGCATGCTCAAGTCGATGTGCTCGACTTTTCCTGCGAGTCAACCAAAGCCTCACAGTATATATAGGCGCCGGTTGGCAAAACCTACCAGTACAAGGCGATGTGAGAAGATTAATACAGAATAACTTCGCACACATTCTGCAGTTGCATTTGCACTTTGAACATCTCTGAGCTATAGTAACTATAGTATACTATAGTAACTATAGTCTTAGTTTGCATTTTTTGCTCCAAAAGGCATCAGGGCGGCATCCGTTTCCCCAGTCCTATCTTCCCCTCCAGGATCATCTGTCGCACGCGCTTGGTCACTGGATGGCAGGTGGGATGTGTGCCCTCCAGCAGCACGCGGCCATGGTCCTCCCGGTTTCCACCAGTGCTACGCGTTGCGTCATTCCATTTGACCCTGGTTGGTTAAGAATGGGATTCCCAGCTAATGGATTATGATAATGCCCAATGTATAGGATAGTATATTATATTTATTATACATACATACATATACATATATATATGTATATATATATATGAATCCCTATATCATTTTCATTCATGTTCTAACCATCAACAAACGGGTCTTGCACAACAGTCCTCAGCCGCACGTTGAGCAGCTACGGCTTCCCAGCCATTCATCACCTCAGCGCTGCAAGAATCGTTGCAGAATCTTTGCTCAAAATCCATGAAATGCGTGAAATGTGATGGTCTCATACATGTGTTGAGGTGCGTATATATATATATATAATATACGTATATATATATATATGTAAGTACATACATATGCCATTATCCTCTATTTGTAGGATAGTGTAGATACGTAGTCGAGTGTGTAGAAATAGCTGAAGTGTATATATGTATACTGTATACTGTATACAATATAAACATACATTAAATCATATTAAATTTATTTATGTCCTTCATTGTCTTTCCAAGATAGAAATGTCTCAGCAATCCTACGGCCCATCCACTCCACCTGCATCCCAGGTACGGAAGGTGTCTCACTCAGGACGTGCTTCCCGGCCAAAATGGCTTTCACGGTCCAGTAGCAGCGGACACCGGCCGGCAACACATTGTAGACCTCATAGCTCCATGCTCCAGCTGAATATCGTGACAACATGTGACAACATGTGACAACCAAATGGTTGTCAAGTGTTTCCACATTTTCCACATTTTCCACATGTTCTACGTTTTCCACACTTTCCACCTTGCCTTCATCAAAAATGATCAACAGAAAGGCCCCATCACTTCAAAAAGGTCCTGGTCTTTGTGGAGTGCTACCGGTTCTATCCCTGGTTTTGGGCGCCCAACCGCATCAACCGCAGGATCCGCCAAGAGGTCCTCAATAGGCTGAGAGGGTTGCCTTTCCTATGAAAAATATATGAAATGTATTGTAAGTCATTGTAAGTTGGCAGAAAAATGACAAAAAACTCTGAAATCAGAGGGAAGTGGAAGCATCAAGTTTTCAACAGGCATTGAGTTTCAGTTTCATGATGGGCGACTCGGCAGAAATTGGCCAATCTTAATCCGCAACACTAAATCAACTCCAACAGATTCCTCAAAGCTGCCGTAGGCCTTCTCAATCCCCCAGTCCTGGCTCAACTTGGAGATAGTGAAGAAAGATGAAGAAAGAATCTTTATAATCTACATTAATCTACCATGATTCCCATATATTCCCATGATCTTCTACAAGTATTGGAGATTATTAGAGTATCACTATCAGTATGTATCAATATGAGTATGATGTCTGTCTCGTCGCAAAACGATTCCACATGTGGCGAGAGTTTATATCATTTTATATACATGTTGCAATGTGCGTCCACTTGGCTTGAAAGCTACTGGACGTCCACTTCCAATGGTAGGGTCAAGATCTGGCGAGGGCTTTTTCACAAGGTCATTAGTAGTCATTAGTCATGAAAACATCAACATGTTCCTTCCCCGCTGTCCAGCAGACATCATTTCCTCAGAAAACTACATAACTACAGTTAACTACATCAAACTCCCCACCAACATAGTTCGCTTCCCAACATGCCGCACTCAACACGTGCTCCTTACAGGCTGCCTCTGCCTCGGTCTTCTGAAGAGACGCAAGGCCCACGATGTGGATCCTGGACCCCAGGGGACCCAGGCGGTGAAAGCCAAACGATAGACTCAGCGAAACAACATGAGATATGACAAGATATGACAAGGATATGTCAGGTATGAATGTCTTTAAAGTAGGGGATGATGGGAAATCCATAGGCCAAGACTGAAAGCGATATGAAATTGGCAGAAGAGGCTTGGAGAACCTTTAGGGCTACTAGGGACTTATTGGCATAAAACCACACCCAAACCTTGCAGAAGGGTACTTTTTGCCATGGCTGAAAACCTAAAGCTCTCGTTTCTCCATGTCCTAAACAACGAAACATTCTACAAGATCCAGCAGGAAAGCAGTAGACCCTCCCTCGGGAAAGACTCTGCGTGAATATTCACATGTCCTTCCCAAATACAAAGTGAGACAAAGTGAGACCAATTTCCCAACGTATCATCATCATTGAATATCCATGCGGATGTGTCAAAACCCTTGGTACCATGGTGAAACCCCAAAATAGCTAGTAAATTCATGTTCATCATCACGAATCCCAACTATGTTGTTATATATGTTATATTTCAATATGCTTCATAGGCTTTTGATCCACCCCCAATATCCCCCAATATCCATTGGATCCCAACATATCCCAACAGCTTCTGGCCTGGCCGCCAAGTCAGGATTTGCTTTCAAGGGCTGGAGCACCGTGAAGGGCACATTCCTGAGATTGGAAGGCTAGATACGGCTAGATCCACTGAGATTCACTTCTCACAACCTCCATCCAAGTTGCTACATATGTCCACATGAACTGACTTCTGGAATGGATATGAACTGCCTTGCATACCAGATTGTCTATAGTGGTTCTGTATTACTGGTTCTAAACGATCGACACCCCCCAGGACCTCCACGTTGGTCAAGCATCCGCGCTGCTCCCAAGATACCAAGGCCCAGTTTTTTCTCCATGGTCTTTTCACAGCACGTGCGATTCTGTGGCACGTCCCTCTTGAGCTCAAATGGCACATGGCAGATGGCGTTTGGAGGCCCAATGCCTGAGGGCGTTGGAGAAAAAGACATGCTTTCAAAAGCATGGGGATGGTTCAAAACCTATAGGACCATCCAACATCCAGTGATAAAACAGCAGCTATTCTTGTGCTATCTTAGTGTTCCCCAGGGTACCAGGGTTGTGACACAAGCCGACATCGCTGGACAAGCATCTTTCGAATGGACGCCCGCACGTTTTCACCCCACGGGAGCAAAAGCCCAGGACAAACGACTGTGCGCAAGCTCCAATGTCTGTCGTTCCTAACATTGCCAAAAGCACTTCAAAGGCTGAAGGCTTCGGATGCTACCAGGAAGCAGCGCTAAGGGTTTCGGTTTCTGAAAAGCATGCTTTACAGTGCTTTACAAACCAAAAGCTGAAAGGCAACTGGGCATCCACAAATGAAGCCCCCAGAGCTGCGGAATTCCATTGCTCCGCAGTGAAAAGGGGATGACTGGGATAACTGGGATAACACTCTCAAAGTTTGCCCATGCTGTGGAACTCCACAGTTGCATCTCTAACCACCCAGTGCAGTGGTCTCTTTGGGAAGATCTGGTCCAGACTCTGGTCATTAAAGGCACACAGCTGTTTCGAGGGAAATTTTCAGGTGGTAATTTTGAAACTCTTGGAATCCTAGGTCTCCTAAACAATCTAAACAATCTCAACAGAGCACAGAGCCCCCATGACTACCAGGAGAACGTAGGCTCCAGGGCTGGCGCACGGCATTGAAAAAGTACAGCAAGCATCAGCAAGCAACCTTCCTGCGGCGGCTAAAGGCCTGCCATGCCCTTCAGACGTGAAAGGTCATCTTGAACCTGAGGCAAGACACTCAGCTGTACCACCAGCCCACCAGCCCACCAGCCCAGCATTTCGCGAGTCCTCAGCTGAGCTCCCCGCCTCACGGAGGTGTTTGCGCACCTCTTTGATGTCTTTGGAAAAAGCCGTTGCAGCAGCACTCACCACCACCTGCATCTTCCGCAGCTCGGCTTTCTCCTGAAACCGCCAGAGAACAGGAATGAAGAGGACAAACATGAGAAAAAATGCCACAAAAGGACCCATTGGTGCAATCTTAAATTGGAGGATACCAGGATACCCAAATTTTATGGCAAGATTCATGGAGAAAGGCTCATTCAAAAGGAGTTAAAAGAAAACCATACGATTTTAACTGGAGTTCCATACTGTACCTTGAGACAACCCCACTGCATCTCACTGCTGTGTCGTGCGAGCCTCAGGAGCCATTCCTGCAACCACCGACCCTGCCAGTGAGGCAGTCACTGAGCCCACCTGGCTACCGCCATGTCTGATGGGTGTCTGACGGCAAAGCCCATGGATTTTCTTGAAACTTGGCATGGTCCAGCTACACCTCAGAGGCACCATTGCCATGGTACGTCAAGTCAGTATGAGCAATATTTTCACAGTAGCCCGAAACAATCTCTAATTCGAGTGCACTTCCAACATCTTCCAACATTCCAACGCACTGTGCAAGTTGGCCAGCCAGACATCTGAACACTGCTCGGAGCCCGCTTCCGAAGGGGGACCGTTCGAGACGCCCCGCCCAGGCCAGCCTTGGACCAATGGGATCAGTGCCACCCCTGGGATCCCCATGAATCCAATGGGATCCAATGGGATCCAATGGGATCCAATGGGATCCAATGGGATCCTGTCTGGGTACCTGTCTTTAAGATTCTTTAAGCAGCTTCAACATGCCAAAATGCAGCCAAGAGACGTTCCTCCAAGTTTTGGGATCCAAGACTCACTGGGACTGCTTCCTCTCGAAGACTTTTCACCTGTCACTGTTTCCATCTGTTTCCCAAAAGGACCTGGTGATGACCTGGTGGCAACACACACCAAATCTGGCTGGATCTCCCTGGCCCCTGGCAGCCTGTTGTCGGATCTCCTTGATTTGCTTGTTGAAGTTGGCACCCGCAGCTGCCACCAAAGCCTTCACCTCACCATCTCAGGGGTGCGCGGCTAGGCGGCTGGCGGCTAGCCATTGTGTTAGTTCTTGAAGGTTTTTACTACAATTCGTGGCTGCAATTACTGACCCAAACACATCACATCATTCATTTCTGCCAGGAGAGAGCAAATGGATGCATATGGTGTATATCGATAAAAGATGATAAAAGGATAAAAAAGGTATACAGTCTCAGTATTAGACACTGTACAAATACATACGGAAAAGTGAAGCTACCTGACCTGCAGCGTTCAGCCGACTTGCTCTCAGCAGACGGGCCTTGTGTAGTTCCGCCCCGAAGCTGGGATCCAGAGCCTGCAGGGATCTGCAGGGTGTGGAAAATCGCCAGCCACAAGCTCTCCAGCATTCTCCAGCATTCTCCAGCATTCTCCAGCGACAAGGCCACTGCGCATCGCCCGACGATCAGGCCTTGTCTGGCTTCAACTGTTTTGCACCTTCATCAGGCCTTTGCATGGCAATATATGGCAATGAATGAGCCAGATTCAGGACAGGAAGACATGAGATGCACAAAAAGATGATCAAGAATCGACGACAAATTCAATCTGCTAATTGTGCTCATAGTTTCAAGATGTTTCAAGATCTTTGAATGCCATCAGTTGTTTGAACCTGCCCAGCTATCCAGTCATTTTTGAACCTGCCCAGCTATCCAGTCATTTGTGGTGGGACTATCTGCCTGGCCTAGCCCCAGAATGTACAGATGCCCGTTGCCCCCGGTCCTTGCAATTTGCTGCAGCTCTTTCTGAAGTGCCTCCACCTGATTGCAATTTACTGGCAGCATGGGTCATTTGAGGGTGTTCGAGGAGAACGACATCTCCATATCCAACCCGAATGCATTGGATTCTTCATTGAAGGAAACTGTCACGAACTGTTGCCAAGCGACCTTCTCCTGTAATGACTGATGGTTGCTATCAGCCTTTGTCGTTGCTGATGACAGCCTGAGCCAAATGATTCTGGAAATCTGTCATTTGTCATTGCTCCCTTGTTTTAGGGGTACACCACGAGGAAGGGAGTTTGCATCTGGACTTTCAGGTGAAAACGCGCCTGGTCTCCAAGGCATTGAGTTGGTTCAGGGATTCCTCAATGTTGGAGGCCTGAGCTGGCTACAATGAAGCAGCCTCTGACATAATATCATGACTGTCATGACTCCTGCTATTGCGTCCAGTCTTCAGTTCAAACAATGTAGTAACTTGAAAAAACGACCATTCGATGTCCTCAAAAACGATTCAAGCACACTGCGACTTCAATAGCAAATACATTCCAAATTGAAGCAAGAACACTGCTTGCACTGCTTGCAGGAAAAGGACTGCAGATGTTGTAGTGCTGCCATTCGCTCCCTTATCAATCTTAGCATTCAAAGCCTGCAACGGATGGCAAGATCTTCCTTTTGCAGACCCATCATCTTTGGGTACACGCCTCTTTCACACTCGGTCACAGATCTCGGACAGATCTCTCCGGGAACAAAAATCCTTGAGACCTGCAGCCCATCTTATCCCCGCCTTCCACTGGGAGATGCTTGGCACACTGGTCACGTCTGCCTTCTTCTGCAAAGCTGTGGAAATCTCCTGTTAGAGTCAAAGAACAAAAGCTATCCCCATGTAATTAGATGTAATTAGATCTCTCATCTGCCTCCACCTAAACTGTGGCTGTTTGATGCTGCTATATGCTGCTTGATACCGTTTGGGACTGTTTGAAGCTGTTGCCATTGGTTCCAAAATGTTCCGAAGCTTCGAGTTCCGAGATGCCGGGAATCTTCCTGGGGTCCTGCAATCTCACCAAGGTGCTCACTTGGTTCTGCTCGTTGCGTCGGGCAACCTCGACAGCCACAGTTTCACGCAGGTCCTCGCACAGGACAACTTTTTTCGATTTGAGATTTGAGAGTCTGTCAACAAATCAAGTGCGATGTCAACAAATCCATCCAACACGTCCAAACAGAGCTCAAGTGCAATGTCTGTCAGCTCCTGCCCAACTAGCGATTGAAGTTCCTGCGGAGACATGGATGGCACTACGGCGATGTGAACAAGTCCGCATTTGTCGTGGTGCACGAAAAGGTCTACGGTTTGTTCAACTGCTTGGTGCTGACTTGATTATCCCCGACACAAAAATTAAACCAACCATCGGCTTTGCCGGCTGCCTGCAATTTGTGCTGCTGGTGCTCAGCGGCAGTTTGCAAAGATCGGATCAAAGGAGAAACGTGGTGCTCAAAGTACTCCATGCAGATTCCTGAGGCATTTACAGCATTCTCGGACTATTAAACTTCAACACAGTTTGCGCCACTTGTATTTGATTGTACGTACAATTACATATTACAGAATATTATTTAAACAGTAGAATACAGCAAACTCCAAGTCTTCTTATGACATCTTATGACTCCAATAGTGGATATGCTTCGGTTTGCAACCTCAAAACACCACACCAACCCCATGGAATCCCACCTCGGACTGCCACGCTGAGATCGACAGTGGTCCGATGATGATCATCATCCTCTCCGTCTCCTCGGTTTCTGCCCCAGCAAGGGTAGGAGGGGGTTGTGCGAGCCCATGCTGGGTGCTGTGTCATGGGCTAGATCTATCTCATCTATCTCCAAATCATCTCAAATTGCGGGTTTTAATTCAATATTGTTCAAATCAACTCTGCTGCCATACATTCCTTACGTTTCTCTAGCCCTATGTCTTGCGAAACAGAGCTGGACTGATCTCCCATCCATGCGATTTGCTGGAAGGACAAGGGACCGATGAAAAAATTCCCATCGTGGTCCGGCTTGCTGTACCACTCCGCCAGTGTCCTCGTTCTGTCCTTCCGGGCTCGAAGACTTGAAGAGTCTAATCTTCTGGATCTAGAACTCAGAATCATCAATAGCTTCAATACATTTCGAAATTTCAATACGGTTCAATGCCTTGTCAATTTATCCCCACCTATTAAGCTAGGGGGGGGGTCAAAAAATGTAAGTTACAAAAAAATAGGGTTGAGGGGGTCAAGAAGATAATGTTACATTTTTGCAATTTCCTCAGAAAATGTAACTTACATTTTTTGAGAGGAAACGTCCAAAACTAGGGGGGTGGTCAAAAAATGTAAGTTACATTTGCTCAAAAAATGTAAGTTGCATTTTTTGACCCTGTAATTGTTTATTGAATATATAGTTATAGATATATATGTATATTATTTTTTCTATATTATTATTATTAGCAGTAGTAGTAGTAGTAGTAGCAGCGTAATAGTATTAGCAGTGCTCGTAGTATTAGATATGCTTTGACCAGATGCAAGAATGCCATAGAACTCCAGTTCGTCACCAATGGCTACCATTGGGGCTGGGGTAGTGCGGGCAAGTCGGTAAAAGCCAACGCACTGCGTGGTTTATGATGGATTGTGCTGGATCCATCATAGGTTCCAGTGACAAACTCAGCTCACACAGGATGCTGGATGATGCCGGCTGCTACTGGTGATTCATTTGGTCTGAGAATGTCTGGGATTCAGATGATTTGAGTTTGGCAGCGCAACGCAGAGTTGACATGAAAGGATATGAAAAGGTATGAAAAAAATCAAGGCAGGTTTCAATTAGATGTTTCTGTGAAATCCCTGTAGGGCCAACAAGTGCCTACAGTGTCATTTGCCAGTTTGTGGTATCAATCAATTCGATTCGATCTGTCAGCAAGGGTGTGTACAGAATAGAACTGCGCTGTGGCAAAGTTACTTTAGATGTGAGGAGTCGAGATGGGTTAGAGAGGCTAGAGATAGCTAGAGAGTGCAAAAATCAAAGCGCTCGTCGCATGCTTGCCGCAATCTGACACATGATCTGGTTTAGTAATGTTTAAAACATGTCCTTTCATGTAGGCTGCATTTTGGCATATTTTGGCATGTATACTTTTGCATACTTTCGCATCAAGTTACCAGATGATACCGGATGCTGCCGGATTCTGAGGACGCCTGTTGGGGGGCATTGGACGCCGAAGTTTGGGGCCCAGCTTTCAATCATTTTCAGTGGTGCATGGTGGTGTTTCTGAAAATGTAAGCTGGACTGCTTGAGGTGATAAAAAAATGGTGGTTTGCAACAGATTTCCATGTCCAGGTGTGCACAAGTTTCATTTTGCTTATTTCTACGTAAGTGATGTCACAACACGGCATCTTTTGCAAAGCATCTTTCTGCTTGCCTAAGCTGACGCTGCACCTAGGCATGCATCGGCTGAGAACCACGTTGGGCACCTCAATGACTATAGATGACTGAGATAATACCCTATGTCATATATTGTCATTTTTTGATACAGTATTTTTCGTGCACTTTGCCTGGAATTGGCATGAATTGCCTGGTGAATGGTGGTGTTTTTGCAAAATGTAAGCTAGACTGCTTTAGGTGTTGAAAATGATGGTGTTTTGCAGAAGATCCCCATGTCCAAACAGTCAAGCTTACATTTTCTTATTACTTCTTATTCCATCTTATTCCCACATTATGTCATAAGGCGACATATTGAATCATAATGCGACATATCTTGCAACGCATTTTTCTGCTTGCCTAGGCTGGCATTGCACCTGAGGGAGCATTTGCTGAAAACGACGTGGGACACCCAGATCACTGTAGATGACTAAGATTGGCATGGGCTCACCGACATTCACAAATATTGACAAGGTCCTTTGATAGTTATAAAGTTTCTTGAAGTCTCTTATGGTTTCCAGTGGTTTCTTGATGCTCCCTATTTAAGCGCGAAAGATGTAAGTTGATGCAAGATCATGCAAGAAAAAGCAAGATCCTATATTTTATATATATAAGGTGAGCAGTTTGGGGGAGGGTGTTTGAGATAGTGGTGGGCTGCATGGATTCTGCCCCCCCATTGCTTTCAGCTTACATTTGTGCAGTTTGCCTGGGATTGCCTGGTGTGAATGGCGGAGGTTTTTGAAAAATGTAAGCTAGACTGCTTTAGGTGTTGGAAATGATGGTGTTTTGCAGAAGATCTCCATGTCCAAACAGTCAAGCTTACATTTTCTTATTACTTCTTATCCCATCTTATTCCCACATTATGTCATAGGGTGACATATTGAATCATAATGGCGGAAGTTTTTGAAAAATGTAAGCTAGACTACTTTAGGTGTTGGAAATGATGGTGTTTTGCAGAAGATTCCCATGTCCAAACAGTCAAGCTTACATTTTCTTATTACTTTTTATTCGATCTAATTCCGACATTATGCCATAGGGTGACATATTGAATCATAATGGGACATATCTTGGAAAGCATTTTTCTGCCTGCCTAGGCTGGCACTGCACCTGAGGGAGCATTTGCTGAAAACGACGTGGGAGACCCAGATCACTGTGGTGACTAAGATTGGTATGGGTTCACCGACATTCACAAATATTGACAAGTTCCTTTGATAGTTATATAATATATAGTTTCTTGCAGTTTCTTATGGTTTTCAGTGGTTTCTTGATGCTCCGTATTTAAGCGTGAAACATGTAAGTTGATGCAAGATCATGCAAGAAAAAGCAAGATCCTGTATTATATATATATATATTTATGGTGAGCAGTTTGGGGGAGGGTGTTTGAGATAGTGGTGGGCTGCATGGATTGTGCCCCCCCCATTGCTTTCAGCTTACATTTGCCAGGTGTGAATGGTGGTGGTTTTTGAAACATGTAAGCTAGACTACTTTAGGTGTTGGACATGATGGTGTTTTGCAGAGGATGCCAATGTCCACACAGTCAAGCTTACATTTTCTTTCTACTTCTTATTCAATCTTATTCTCACATTATGTCATAAGGTGACATATTGTTTATTATTGTATCATAATGTGGCATATCTTGCAAAGCATTTTAGTGGTTGCGTAGGGTGGAAGTGCACGAGAGGGAGAATTTGCTGAAAACGACGTGGGACACCAGATCAGTGTAGATAACTAGGATTGGCATGGGTTCACCGACATTCAAAAATATATTGACAAGTTCATTTGGTGGTTATATAGTTGCTTGAAGTTTCTTATGGTTTCCAGTGGTTTCTTGATGGTTCCTACCTATGCGTGAAAGATGTAAGCTGATGCAAGATCATGCAAGAAAATGTAAGATGCGATGTTACATTATATTACCATATAATGCCTATATAGTAAGCTGTTTGGGGGAGGGTGTTTGAGATAGTGTTGTGGGCTGCAGGGATTCTGGCCCCCCTATTGCTTTCAGCTTACATGTTTGCGTCGCATAGATGAGATCACCTTTGGTCATTTCATGATATGTTATGTCATTTTTTGTGCATATGTGCGCATCATCGTGCACTTTGCCTGGAATTGCCTGGTGAGTGGTAGTGTTTCTTGAAAAATGTAAGCTAGATTACTTTAGGTGTTGAAAATGATGGTGTTTTGCTGCTTGCCTAGGCTGGCAGTGCACCTGAGGGAGCATCTGCTGTGAACGATGTGGGGCACCTAGATCACTGTAGATTCTGGATGGCTAGGATGATATTCTATGTTCATTTTTTGTGCATGTGATTGCATATGTGCGTATCATTGTGCAGTTTGCCTGGAATTGCCTGGTGAAGGGCGGCGTTTTTTGAAAATGTAAGCTAGGCTGCTTTAGGTGTTGAAAATGATGGTGTTTTGCAGAAGATCCCCATGTCCACACAGTCAAACTTACATTTTCTTATTACTTCTTATTCCATCTTATTCCCACATTATGTCATAAGGCGACATATTGAATCATAATGCGACATATCTTGCAACGCATTTTTCTGCTTGCCTAGGCTGGCATTGCACCTGAGGGAGCATTTGCTGAAAACGACGTGGGACACCCAGATCACTGTAGATGACTAAGATTGGCATGGGCTCACCGACATTCACAAATATTGACAAGGTCCTTTGATAGTTATAAAGTTTCTTGAAGTCTCTTATGGTTTCCAGTGGTTTCTTGATGCTCCCTATTTAAGCGCGAAAGATGTAAGTTGATGCAAGATCATGCAAGAAAAAGCAAGATCCTATATTTTATATATATAAGGTGAGCAGTTTGGGGGAGGGTGTTTGAGATAGTGGTGGGCTGCATGGATTCTGCCCCCCCATTGCTTTCAGCTTACATTTGTGCAGTTTGCCTGGGATTGCCTGGTGTGAATGGCGGAGGTTTTTGAAAAATGTAAGCTAGACTGCTTTAGGTGTTGGAAATGATGGTGTTTTGCAGAAGATCTCCATGTCCAAACAGTCAAGCTTACATTTTCTTATTACTTCTTATCCCATCTTATTCCCACATTATGTCATAGGGTGACATATTGAATCATAATGGCGGAAGTTTTTGAAAAATGTAAGCTAGACTACTTTAGGTGTTGGAAATGATGGTGTTTTGCAGAAGATTCCCATGTCCAAACAGTCAAGCTTACATTTTCTTATTACTTTTTATTCGATCTAATTCCGACATTATGCCATAGGGTGACATATTGAATCATAATGGGACATGTCTTGGAAAGCATTTTTCTGCCTGCCTAGGCTGGCACTGCACCTGAGGGAGCATTTGCTGAAAACGACGTGGGACACCCAGATCACTGTGGTGACTAAGATTGGTATGGGTTCACCGACATTCACAAATATTGACAAGTTCCTTTGATAGTTATATAATATATAGTTTCTTGCAGTTTCTTATGGTTTCCAGTGATTTCTTGATGCTCCGTATTTAAGCGTGAAAGATGTAAGTTGATGCAAGATCATGCAAGAAAAAGCAAGATCCTGTATTATATATATATATATATATATTTATGGTGAGCAGTTTGGGGGAGGGTGTTTGAGATAGTGGTGGGCTGCATGGATTGTGCCCCCCCCATTGCTTTCAGCTTACATTTGCCAGGTGTGAATGGTGGTGGTTTTTGAAACATGTAAGCTAGACTACTTTAGGTGTTGGACATGATGGTGTTTTGCAGAGGATGCCAATGTCCACACAGTCAAGCTTACATTTTCTTTCTACTTCTTATTCAATCTTATTCTCACATTATGTCATAAGGTGACATATTGTTTATTATTGTATCATAATGTGGCATATCTTGCAAAGCATTTTAGTGGTTGCGTAGGGTGGAAGTGCACGAGAGGGAGAATTTGCTGAAAACGACGTGGGACACCAGATCAGTGTAGATAACTAGGATTGGCATGGGTTCACCGACATTCAAAAATATATTGACAAGTTCATTTGGTGGTTATATAGTTGCTTGAAGTTTCTTATGGTTTCCAGTGGTTTCTTGATGGTTCCTACCTATGCGTGAAAGATGTAAGCTGATGCAAGATCATGCAAGAAAATGTAAGATGCGATGTTACATTATATTACCATATAATGCCTATATAGTAAGCTGTTTGGGGGAGGGTGTTTGAGATAGTGTTGTGGGCTGCAGGGATTCTGGCCCCCCTATTGCTTTCAGCTTACATGTTTGCGTCGCATAGATGAGATCACCTTTGGTCATTTCATGATATGTTATGTCATTTTTTGTGCATATGTGCGCATCATCGTGCACTTTGCCTGGAATTGCCTGGTGAGTGGTAGTGTTTCTTGAAAAATGTAAGCTAGATTACTTTAGGTGTTGAAAATGATGGTGTTTTGCTGCTTGCCTAGGCTGGCAGTGCACCTGAGGGAGCATCTGCTGTGAACGATGTGGGGCACCTAGATCACTGTAGATTCTGGATGGCTAGGATGATATTCTATGTTCATTTTTTGTGCATGTGATTGCATATGTGCGTATCATTGTGCAGTTTGCCTGGAATTGCCTGGTGAATGGCGGCGTTTTTTGAAAATGTAAGCTAGGCTGCTTTAGGTGTTGAAAATGATGGTGTTTTGCAGGAGATCTCCCATGTCCACACAGTCAAACTTACATTTTAATTACTACTTCTTGTTCTTATTCTATCTTACGCCATCTGATTCCCACATTATGTCACAAGGTGACATATTGTATGCTATTGTATCATAATGTGACATATCTTGCAAACCATGTTTCTGCCTGCCTAGGCTGGCACTGCACCTGAAGGAGCAGAAAATGTGGCAGAAGGCTTCCCCTTAGCACAAAGTTATGTAGCAGAAGGCTCCCCTAGCAGAAACTTATGTAGCAGAAGGCTCCCCTAGCAGAAAGTTATGTAGCAGAAGCCTCCGCTAGCAGAAAGTTATCTAGCAGAAGGCTCCCCTAGCAGAAATATATGTAGCAGAAGGCTCCGCTAGCAGAAAGTTATGTAGCAGAAGGTGCCGCTGGCAGAAAGTTTGCAAAAACATTTTTCTGCCTGCCTAGGCTGGCACTGCACCTGAAGGAGCATCTGCTGAGAACGACATGGGGCACCTAGATCACTGTAGATGACTAAGATTGGTATGGGTTCACCACCGACATTCACAAATATTGACAAGTTCCTTTGATAGTTATATAATATATAGTTTCTTGAAGTTTCTTATGGTTTCCAGTGGTTTCTTGATGCTCCCTATTTAAGCGTGAAACATGTAAGTTGATGCAAGATCATGCAAGAAAATGTAAGATCTGATGTTACATTATATTACCATATAATGCCTATATAGTAAGCTGTTTGGGGGAAGGTGTTTGAGATAGTGTTATCGGCTGCAGGGATTCTGGCCCTCCTATTGCTTTCAGCTTACATGTTTGCGTCGCATAGATGAGATCACCTTTGGTCATTTCATGATATGTTATGTCATGTTTTGTGCATATGTGCGCATCATTGTGCACTTTCCCTGGAATTGCCTGGTGAGTGGTAGTGTTTCTTGAAAAATGTAAGCTAGATTACTTTAGGTGTTGAAAATGATGGTGTTTTCCAGAGGATGCCCATGTCCACAAAGTCAAACTTACATTTTAATTACTAATGCTTATTCAATCTTATTCCCACATTATGTCATAAGGCATCATAAGGTGACATGTTGTATATTATTGTATCATAATGTGGCCTATCTTGCAAAGCATTTTGCTGCTTGCCTAGGCTGGCAGTGCACCTGAGGGAGCATCTGCTGTGAACGATGTGGGGCACCTAGATCACTGTAGATTCTGGATGGCTAGGATGATATTCTATGTTCATTTTTTGTGCATGTGATTGCATATGTGCGTATCATTGTGCAGTTTGCCTGGAATTGCCTGGTGAAGGGCGGCGTTTTTTGAAAATGTAAGCTAGGCTGCTTTAGGTGTTGAAAATGATGGTGTTTTGCAGGAGATCCCCATGTCCACACAGTCAAACTTACATTTTAACTACTACTTCTTGTTCTTATTCTATCTTACGCCATCTGATTCCCATATTATGTCACAAGGTGACATATTGTATGCTATTGTATCATAATGTGACATATCTTGCAAACCATGTTTCTGCCTGCCTAGGCTGGCACTGCACCTGAAGGAGCAGAAAATGTGGCAGAAGGCTTCCCCTTAGCACAAAGTTATGTAGCAGAAGGCTCCCCTAGCAGAAAGTTATGTAGCAGAAGGCTCCCCTAGCAGAAAGTTATGTAGCAGAAGCCTCCGCTAGCAGAAAGTTATCTAGCAGAAGGCTCCCCTAGCAGAAATATATGTAGCAGAAGGCTCCGCTAGCAGAAAGTTATGTAGCAGAAGGTGCCGCTGGCAGAAAGTTTGCAAAAACATTTTTCTGCCTGCCTAGGGTGGCACTGCACCTGAAGGAGCATCTGCTGAGAACGACATGGGGCACCTAGATCACTGTAGATGACTAAGATTGGTATGGGTTCACCACCGACATTCACAAATATTGACAAGTTCCTTTGATAGTTATATAATATATAGTTTCTTGAAGTTTCTTATGGTTTCCAGTGGTTTCTTGATGCTCCCTATTTAAGCGTGAAACATGTAAGTTGGTGCAAGATCATGCAAGAAAATGTCAGATCCGATGTTACAATATGTTACATTGCGCACTTTGCCTGGGATTGCCTGGTATGAAAAAATGCAAGTAGCTGCAGGGGAGTTTTCCAAATTTCTGCAAAAACACATGAAGACCGTGACCTTAAGGTAAGCGCTTATGAAATCTAGCAAGCAGATGCAAACAGCATCAGCAACAATATTGCAGGCAATCTTGCAGATGGTGCATGATCCAAACAAACCGGGAACAGCAGAAGATAGTATAAAAATGAATAGAAACAGAATAAGGTAGCACAAGATAGTACCAAATAGTAGTGCTAGTAGTACTAGTAGTACTAGTAGTGCGAGTAGTACTAGTAGTACTCGTGGCAGCAATATTAATACGAATTAATAGTAGTAATAGAGTATATAATAGCAGCAAGAATAGTAGCGGTTTTCATATTATTTCATATTACTTCATATTTTATCATTAAAAAATTGCTCGGGGTATTTTGAGATGATTCGATCTGCACGTCCCCCCCCGTGCCCCCCCCCCTGAAAATAGAAAAAACGTGAATTTTAAAAAAATGAGGGGGGGGGTCACAAATTGGAAGTTACATTTTTTGACCCCCTCATTTTTTATTTTTTCATTGGGGGGGGGGGGCAAAAAAATGTAAGTTAGGGGGTCGCGAAAATGTAACTTACATTTTTTGACGGGGGGGTCCCCCCTATTTGTTTGTAACTTACATTTTTTGACCCCCCCCAAAAAAAAAGCTGCCCAAGGGGGTGGGGATGTCAATTTTGCACTTTTAAACCTGGCAGCCGGCAATGAACATCCACCGCTTCCAGGTCCCGATTCTCCTTGTACTTTCCAACTTCTCCTGCCTCCTGGTCACGGATGCCGTGAATGGCGGAAGGGAAGCAGGTAGCAACAACAGTAACAACAGTAGCGTCGTGACGGAGGGAAGATATTCTTGCATTCCAGGAGCTTGCCAACTTGAAAAAACTTATTTTCTGATTGGAGCATCGGAGTACAGCGAAGGCCTGACTATGATCTAGGACGGTCAAAATCACTTCACTCAGTCTGAGCACTCTTTGCTGAGACCAAGATAAACCCGGCAAGTCACTCAGAGTAAAGCTGCTGGGAACCTCAGGCCATTAAACATCATTAAACTACAACCATTGACTTGCTTCGCCCATGTGCACCAGGTCCGCCAACATCAGCACAGCCACCGGTGGATGGATCCTCTGAAGCAAAGGCAGCCTGTAAGACTTGGTTGGTCCTGGCGAAACCTTTCCTTTCGACTGCATCTACCATGCAGTACTTCAGGAAGCCATGCTCTTTCAATAGGCAAGACTGCTGGATAGTCTTCAACCGCTTCTGCACTGACCAGGTGCACCCACTGGCCCAAGCATCTCTGCTTGCTCTTTGGCCAGGTGGGCAACGACCACCTTTGGGCAGCGTAAACCAGAAACCAAGTGGGTTGTCAGCAGCACACCTGCTCTCACCATCGCCAACGGAGGACGGTGCTTGTCTACCCACCAAACGCGAATCCCCACCGGTACAGGAAGGGCCTGGTGGTTTTGTGTCCGGGTAGCCATTGCACAATGCATACTGACCAAATGCAGGCGAAACCTCAAGGTTATAGCGTGAGATCAGGGTGTAGTTGTGATCAATGAAAGAGGTTTCTTTTTGGAGCCGATCTACGCATATAAAAATTGCATCTCCAGCAAGATCCGCGACGTTTTGGTCCTCGATGTTGTAGTCGCCAGCAGTCATGCCCGGATGGAAAATATAGGCGTCCAATACGACCGGGTCCAGTCCACGACCATTCTCACAAGGAGGAGCAGGTTTGTCACAGATCTGAGGTTTCTCAAACTGCTCTGGAACGGGTGTAGCTTTTAAGGGGCCAAACTGATAAGAAATATTGAAGCTTGTTCCACCACTGTTGTTTTTGGGGAGGGTCATGTTCAACTCGACTGGAGCATTGCCATCCGCGCAAAGGCTGATCTTTGACTGATGCGTGGAGCGCAAGATCCACAAATTGCAAGCCCTGCCGGCAACCACACGCTGTCCAATGTACTCTGAAAGGTCAGGGTCAGCGGCCCAAGAGAAGAAATCAGAGTATCTTTGTTGACCGAACAAATGTAGTTGACGGCAAATGGGATCATTGCCACCGGTGATGTGGTAAGATGCATTCTCCAGAACAAGAGCTGTCAGGTTGGTATAGAGCTGACCCATACCAGGAAAGTCTCGGATGGTCAGTACTCTCATGGCCTTCTTCTCTGCATCCTGCGCAAAGAATCCCTTGCCAGTTGCAGGATAGCCTACTGGCAAGGCTACCCAACCTGGATCATAAGAAGTGAAGTTGATGTCCGCGGCAAAGCGGCATGGAATTCTTGGTCGTACTGGTTCGTCAACAAGCTGTGAATCAACAAGCGTCTTCAACAGGTTGATCTCATCCTTTGCAGCTCGAATGATGCTTGACATCCAGTCCACTTCGTAGCCTGCATATGTTTCAACAGGAAGAGTTGAGTGTGCCAGCGTCAATAAATGGAAGGAACAACATATTCCCAGCCACAGCCGCTTGCAGCTCGTTGCACCATTCAAGTTCTCCGCAAAGCCCATTCTCGGAAAAGGAACAAACATCTTGAGCCAAGTTTGTCAAATCTCCACCACAGAAGCAAATCTATACGATGATTCCTGGTTTCATGGTCCAATCCGCAAGAAAATACTCTCTGGTGGTCGACTTTTGATGCATTCAGAGGGTCTCTTTGCTTATCCATGTAGGATCGCTTTCATCAAACAACTAACGACTCTTCTAATCTTAGCAATGACAGCTCAAACAAGGCCCAATGCAATCTGTCCTCATTCACATTCGGCGCAGGAGGGTGGTTTTCAGTGGTCGCAGGCTGCTCGTCCTGGGCGTTACAGGTTAAGTCATGGGTTTAATATGGTTTAATATGGGTTTAATGTTTAATGGCATCACAGAGGCAGCCAAGACAGCTCTCATTTCCCCATGGCCGTGCCTTGTGATGGGCCATCGCAGGCATAGGGGGCGGAGTCCAGAAGGGGGCACCTTGAAGGCTTGACAGACCGGGCATCGCCTCGCTCTTGTCTAGCAGCTTTCCCAAATATCCCGCAGTTTATCATCAGCTTTTAAATCAAAACTGCCATTTATATCCATTTATAATGTTTGGGTATACCATGGTATACCCCTGTATATCCATGTATATCCAACATCTCACTCTCGCCCTGGCATTGCCCGCCTTTGCCATAGCCATACATCGGGTGTGGAACGTTGTAGACCATGTGAGGAGGGCCCGGGTATGATGGGTGCCCGCCTTTGGCCCACATGGCGCAGAAGAAACGGGCTGAAAGCTACAGGAAAGCGATGTCAAGCGATGTCAAGCGATGTCAGAAGCGTTGAAGTTTGGAAGCAGTAAAGTCAGTCTTCGTTTCACAGTGCTAACTAAGGTTTGAAATCTGGACATACAAGGCCGCGGTCTTCTTTGATAACTGATCACATGAGCTTTGAGCCATGGATAGCCATGGTCTCCCCAGTGGCGATTGGTGCAAGCACAGCTAGCTGCAAATAGCTGCAATAAAGCGAGTGTAGATGGTCCAGGGAGTCAAGCATCCTGCTCCAGGTCAGCTCCCATGGCGCACTCCCCCAGGGGCACATGGAATGGTCGGGCCTGGTTTCGGGGAAGAGTTCCAAAGAGTAGAGTGAATTAGAACGGCTGAGTATGGCTTGACGCAAGAACTGTTCTTATCGAATCTTGTCCCACGAAACTGGCGTCATGGAATGAAAGATTCTCCTACTGCATCTATTCCATCATTCCTGTTTAACTTCTCTGGTCTGGAATCTTTCTTGCGGTCTTCAAGTGCTCAGGCCAAAATAAAACGCTGTGCCATGCTGAGCCATTTCAGCTCCTGCAATCAGCCTTGAGCATCTGACGAGACCAAAGTCTGCAATCTTCAATCGCAGGCGCTGGTCGATCAAGAGATTCTGAAGCGCAGGGCGGAACCATCGTGCTGAACGACGCTAAGCGATGCTAACCTGCTAAACGATGCTTTTGAAATGCTGAACTTTTACCTGGACCCAATCATCCCCGCTTTAACTATAATCAACAGGTCATACTACTGTGCCTCTGAATAGCTGTCTCTATGTCTATCTGTGTATGCATTCCCTGCTTGCTGAAGATTGATTGCTTGAACAAGGAATAGTGTGTAATATCATGAATATTTTATCATATAAATTTACAATAAATGTTGATCAAATGCAACGTTACATAGTCATCATCTAGTTGTTGGACCACTCCCATCTGACATCGGAAGGCCTGTGGCTTCAGGTCGCGGTGAAGAATGCGATTTGCGTGGCAGAACTGCACTCCCTGAAAGAGCTGGAACCTGATTCGTGCACTGCTGAGAACTGCTGAGGATGGCAGTGTGTGTTTGAAAGGATATGACTCCGGAGAGAAAAAACTTTATCTAACCACTAAACATTTGGCAGCTAGCATCAATTATTAATGCATCTTCAATTCAGATTCCTAAAGCTGCCATGAAGCGCGAAGTTCTTCACAGTGGCAGGAGAAAGATTGTTGCTCATGGAGCGCATGTACCTGGCTTCGAGAAGAACCTTCAATACATTGCCGGAGCATTGAGCATGCTGGATTAGATTCGTATACGAGAGTTTGCCCAGCTACACCACATGCACATTTTGGTGTTGCAAATCTGAGTTGGCTAGCCTCACTCATCGCAGCTGCAAAGCGACTGTTTGTAAAGAGACTCGTGACTTGTCACTTGTCGCTCTGATTTTTGATTCGCAGTCTGGAAATTGCACAGTGCCCATACCCTCAGGCTACTGTTGGCTGCGCTCAAGAAATCTCTAGAAACTAAAAGCTTTGGGAATTTCAAATATTTCAATATATGTCAATGACACCCTGCACTGCACTATCTCACCTGAACAATGGCAGTGGGAGTTATTTGAGACATAACTCCTGCATTCCGAATTTGCGTCAAGTATGCACAATAATTATCACAATTGAGGCCTTGCGTCAGCCCATAGACACCTGGCCCGCCCAGTATTTGGGTTCGCAGATTCCACAGACATCCTGCCGTCGAAGGAGACCTTTGCTTCCACAATGACTGGCTCAGACTCGATGCTCTCGCTCTCGGTGTGCACGCAGCAAATCTGCAGCCGAGCAAATGAGGCCTCCAGAAAAATGGCAGTGACCACGGTGATTTCCCGGGTGATTTCCCAGGTGATTTCCCGGAGAACAAAATCTGCTGTGATTTTGGGGTAAGACCTCCTGAAGGTCACACGAGCTGGAGCTACGTACCATAATAGGCAATAATATGCAGCAATAAATAATAAACTTCTGTGCCAATTGGTGATAGACGACAATATCGATTGGCTACTTCAGCAAAAGTTGCAGCTTGATTTCCACAACGTCTTGTCAAAAGATGTCAACAGATGTCAAAAAGTTCCAGGCGTCTAGATCAGCAACAAAGGTCCACTACAGTAGAGATCTGGGCGTTGCGCAATCTTCTTCACACTTTTTCATGGTGTAGTATGCAACAATATTGGAACCCAAGGAACCTGCAGTGCTCTGAGGCAATTTGGGTGCAGCTGCATTTAGAGTTGTGGCACCTTCGCCAATGGGGTTGAAACTCGAAACTGCTCGTGCAGGTGTGGCGAGCACTCGAGGTTTTTTGAATTGGTGCCTGGCAGCAGGGCCAAGCAAAGAACCGTCACAGCCCTGAAAAGCGGCAGGGACGACAGGAGCCATCGCAAATGGCTGTCCTTGTAGAGTGGGAGCTTCAGCTGTTTCAGCTTCTCTACCTCTGGGTGGTCTAAAAGCAGCCCGAGCTTGGGGGCCAAATTGATCAACTTGAGCAGACCCTCCAAGGCCTCCAAAGCCCTCCATCACTGTCTCTTCCTCTGCAAGAGGCATCACTTGAGCTGGTGGCCCAGCGGGCTCTCTCAAATGCTGTTCTTTCGGAATTGACTCAGCTTGCTGACACTCTTCTGGATCAATTTCGACGATTTGGTGCATAGATTCGCCCAAAGTCAGAGAAGGAGCAGCTTCTCGAAGTGACGGAACAGCTTCTCTCAAGGATGCTTCCGGTTGTGGCTCTTCATCTTCCACACAAATCACCTCATCTGCTTCATCAACGGGTTCAACGGCCTTCGAAGCCAGCTGCATGGCCACCTCTGGCAGTCCACTTGGAACCGATGGAACCGGTGGGACCGGTGGGCCCAGGGCAGGGCAGAGCTGCCTGGCCGCCTCCCAGCATCGCTTGCTGGGCAGCTGCACCAATCGGAAGCTGCTGCCATCCACACCCTGCGGCAGATTCCTCTGGAAGTCCAGGTCACCCGGCTCCAAAGCCACCATCCCAGGGCTGCCCATTGCAATAAGCGATATGGATCGATATGGATCGATATAGATCGATATGGTGGATAAAGGCAATCTGGTGTTCAAGGTATACGGTGGTATACTGTACCCTAAATCCAGCAGTTACCAAAAAATGGTTCCCCTGCACTGTGCTGGTTAGGTCAAGGCCTGTGTCAGTTCTGAGATAGCCTCTGTATCCTCTGTGCGTTCCTCGTCTTCTTCCGATGGTACAGTGGTTGACTTTCCTCTGCTTTCCAAATAGCTGCGTTGCAGGGTGATGAAAGTTGAACACGTGTCTAATACAAGGTGCAAAGGTGTGTTTGAAAAACAAGAAAGGCCCCAAAACTCAATTCCAGTATGCTAATTGACTGTTCTACTAGGGACACCCATTGCTGAGGTGTCCGCACAAGTTAGTCAGTCTTTTGGCTGGGCAGGTTGTTCCAAGAAATCACAAGAACCTCGTTGTGAATGCGGGCACTTCTTCAAATCGTTCTCAACAAACTCAAAGACCAAGACCAGCCTTGGAGACGCGAACTGTTTGGAACACTATTCCCAACATGAAACATTAGCGCATTAGCTTCAAAGAGCGTCCTGATGACTGTTGTGATTAAATTCACTTGACTTTGCATTCAAGGCACTTGTTCGGCTTGTAGAAAATATTGATCAGCTTGACAATATTTTGGTGATCTTTTAGCTCCTGATCCAAAACATGGCCAGCATGACAGCTTGTGCTCTCATGGTGGGCAATCCAGGTAAAATATGGCAAACATATGATATTTGAATATATTTGAGATATGATAATGAACAGAAGCTGATTCAAAACATTGGTCTCAGTAGTGTTTGTGTTCCACTCCCATGATCGATAAATATCGTTAAATCGGTTTTCCTTTCTCTCCAGCCTCATCCCTAAATGCACTAAACATCCTTAAACTGGAAGTCCTTGAGCAAAGCAATCTCTCGAAGAGCCGTACTAGGCATGCCATCCTCCTGGTACGGACACTGTTGGGCCGTTGGGCAGTGACAGGGGGACAGCATGGGACAGCACTGCGGGGCGATGGCCATGGCATGCGATGGCTCTGGGCTCAACACCGAGCCCTCGATCTTCATCTGTTTCATGGCCACCAGCTCCCCCGTGCGAATGGATTTGGCCTTGAAGACCTGGAAATTGGGCGATGCTCTGAGGGTGTTTCAGTGAGTTTCCAGTGTGGTGCGTGAACGTATCATGTCGAAAGCATCGTGAATACTGAATGCACTGAATGCTAATGAATGCTAATGAAATGGATCTGAATGCAAACGTTCAGTGGCCGTTCCGGTCTCACCTTGCCGTAAGTCCCTTCTCCAAGAAGGGAGGGCTCGACTTTTTCATACCTGTGAACTCATAGCGTCAAGTACTCATAGCATCTCATAGCATTAAGTACTCATAGCTAGTGCTGTTCAGTAGTACTCAGTCGATTCAAATGTCATTCTAAACTATTCTAAACTTCTAAACCAGTGGCTCTGTCGGACCACACTCCAGAGTTTCATTCTACAGGTGCACGGCAGACTCTCCTGTCTTTGCTTGAGGCGCGTACTGGCTTTCGAAGGCTTTTTCTGCCTCATCCAGATTATCCTCCAAGTCTGCCATGCTCCTGGTGCGACTGGCGACAGGTGGAATTTGTTCACTGGGCCAAGCAAAGTTTGTCAGCGTTCAACTGGCAGTCCTCTGCATGGGGTTTCTTCCCCCTAGCATTTCATCTAAGCTAATCAAACTCGAATCAAATCTTTTCTCACCTAATTATCCTTGAACACAAAATGGAGCAATAGCAGGCGAGCATGGCCACAAGCCCGCGTGTCCAAAGGCACCCAGCAAAACTGATGCGGTGGCACTGGTGACTGGTGTGTTTCATCCAACACATGTTTTTATTGTTGAGTGTATTGCAGTGTATCGATTGGTGACATTTCAGCCTTGACAGACTTTGTGGCTTCCATCTGATAGCAGCAGCCCGTGCTTGGGCCACATTAAGTCCAGCCCATACAGCGATTTGCCGCACGGAAACTGACGACCTACAGGCTTGGCACCGTATCCAGCTAAGTCATGCCAGTCGATAATATTGGTTGACCACAGTGGACCATGATTAACCATGATGTGCCTGAACCTATGATGACCATTGATATCCTCTGACTGGTGCATACGATTGACGAAAGCTGTACTCTTGCAGCTCTCAGCTCTTGAAGCGCGTGCAAATTCTCTAAACCACCGGGTTTCTGATTTCATCGAACTGCAGTCAATGGTCTTTCCACATGTTCCATGTCCTTCCATGTTCCATACCCAAGTGGCTCGGCACTACAAATTCGTGAATTCACTGTTCACTATGGTTCACTATGGTTTACTATGGTTCACTACTCAGCGCAGCGCCTGCCAGGGAAAGTTGTCGTTCACAATTCACGCTTTTTTGACTAGTTCTGGCAGTTCTGGCTGCCTATTAGGACGGTGAAATCATGTGAAATCACAAGGATTCTCCAAGAAAATCATCTGCAATGATTGGCATCGAAAGACCCCAAATCCAGACATGGGGTCATCATCTATGAGGGCCATCATCAGTATCGATAATTCACATTTTGCATCATTGTTATCATATGATATCATTGATCATACTACTATAGTTACTATAGGAACCAACTAACGGCTCATCCACTGACACGGTGCAAAGTTCAAGTCTTCGCAACTTTTTTTCTCCCAGCGGGCCATGAAGAAGCCGTCCGTACCTTCCACGTGCGGCAGCAGCGTGCGGCAGTGCCTGCAGGGAGTGGGCAATGATATGCCGCATATGCCCAAACTGGAGCATGGAAACCGCTTCTGATTCTATTGATTCTGGAAATGCTGAAAAAATGTACCGCAAATGAAAGCAACCCCAGTGTACACTATCAGTTGTGCTGCTGTTGGGTTTAGGTATGCACCATTCCTGTCAGGTTTTCTTTGGTGTTCTGGTATTTTGACGAGCGTTACATAAGGGACCAGTGGCTTCCATCCAGTGGTGCTGTCCCTGTTGATTTCAGTTTGGTGCGTTTCGTTTTGGATTCCCTTGGGCTTCAGACCTGCCACTTGGAAATGGCCATCTTACAAAGCCCCGTTGGAGCGCTTCAAAGCCAGCTACAACGCTTTGGTTCTCCAAGTGGATCAACGAGCAGGTGGCATAGACCAAGCGTCCTCCCGGGCGAAGAAGCTGGGAAGCTTCCTCCAAAATGCTGAGCTGCAAATCTGCGATCTCTGACACTTCTTGGAGGCGTAACGCCCAGCGTTGGGAGGGATGTCTTCTCAAGACCCCAGAGGAGGAACATGGTGCATCCACTAAGACGACATCGGCATGTAAATTGTGTGGCTTGCTCGGAGGCACTTCCAGTAAGTGTAGATTGGTCTCACCCAACGCCCTTTTGGCTCTGGCCCCTTGAAGTTGTTTCCGCAGATCTTCTTCAATGTCCCAGGCACAAACCGATCCATTTGGTGACACCAAGGAAGCCAAGAACCAGGTTTTTCCACCACGACCCGCACAGTAATCGACCACTAAGTCCCCAGGTTTGGCCTCAGTCGCTAAGGCTAAGAGCTGCGAACCCTCATCTTGGACTTCAAAAAGTCCTTCGGAATATCCTGGCAGCTGCCAAACCCCTCCAGCTGGTGGACGCCCATCTGGCAACCAAAGCCCTACTGGACTCTCGGCCGTTGGAACACTGCGAACACCATGGTTTGCCAACAGCTCCATGAGCTTCAAACGTGTGGTTTTGAAGGTGTTGACCCTCAACGTCACTCGAGCTGGTTGGCACATCGCACGACCCAGTTGAAATGCCGAGAGTGGACCAAACTGCTGCAACCAACTCTCTGCCATCCACAGCGGCAATGACCATGCAGTAGCCAGGCGGACTGCCAACAGCGGTTCCTCGTCAGCCTCAAAAAGAGGTGCTCTCACAGCTTCTCGCAGCTTACACTCCACCGCGTCATCCAAACAACCATGCCCACCTTGCCCACCTTGCAAACCATTCGAAAGATTCGAAAGTGTCAAACCACCTTCCTCTCGGAGCTCACGACCAACATAGAGTTCCAGAAGCATTTCCGCTTCAATCTCAGGATCAATATTTCCCTGGTTTCTACGGAACGCTCTATCCAACAGGTGCCCTAAGCGTCCATAGAAAACCGCTATGCCCAGCACCCGCTGTGCGATCGCTGCGCGCGTGGCCTGGTTGAGCTCCGCATGTCGCGCGCGCATGGCGCGGCGCAACGCCTTCTCCACGTCGCTGCCGGGCACGCGGAGCCACTGACGAAGGGCGACCAAAGACACCTCGCGCACCAAGGCAGTACCTGGCGTCCATCCACCGAAATGCTGTGCAAAATGCTGACAGTCTGACAATATCATATCATATCATATCATATCGTATCACATCATATCATATCATGTATAATACATATGTTTTATAATGTGTATAAATATGTATACATAGTTCAAAATCATTGCCATATAATATACGTCACATTTCTATTTACTGTTCAAATTTCTCAAATGTTGATCCTTTGGAGATGTTGTTTCCAAGGCCTATGTGCTGCACCATTCAAATTATGCCATGGGGAGTAATGGGGAGTTGCTAGAAGGACAATCTCCAAGGAAACCTTCACTGCAAGTTCAGGCAAGCTGCTTGTAGGTGCTTTCTTCTCATCTGGGACATCTTCGTCCCCCGCATATGCCATGGCTTGGATTCTTTGTCCATCATGACAGAGCTGAAATATCTGACCATGTCTGACCTTGTCCCAGTCCCAACCTTTTTGGCACTTAGACTTCTCGACGAATGCTACAAGACCTGGAATACCGTTTCGGAATGGGCAGAGTAACAAAATAGTGCAACAAAATAGTGCAATTTCCTTGACTTCCAGCTTTCAAATCTGTCTAGCATGTCTTCAACAGCAGTAGACACAAGTTGAGGCCGTGCCGGGTGACAACATGTGACAACTCTCTTCCAAGCTTCGTGGTTCCCTTTGCTTCGCCTATCGAAGGACCGAGTTAGTGGGTCGCGAAAGCAACTGATCGGTGCTCTGCAAGATGCCTCAGCTGCACTCCAAAATCCTCATGCTGCATGTTCCAGGATGTCCCAAGATGTCGGGAAAAAAACAGAAAAACTAAGTGTATCCAACAGTATCCAATACTACCCAATAGTATCAGGTATCATATCCAATAGTTATTCTATAAGAAGCCAATAGTAGCAGTAGCCCATAGTTATTGACTTAATAAGTCAAACATAGTTAAACCATGTTAAACCAATTAATCCCGGTGGCACTGGGCTCCCATGACTCCAATCGCCCAACCTCTCTGCCAAGCTGCCGGGCACCTCAGACCTTCGTCCCACCGACACAAAGAGAGGCTCCTGGGTCTCGATCTCAGCAACTGGGTCAACTGGAGATATCAACATATCAACTGTCAATATGGGAAGTCAATGGAAGTCAGGATATGAGGGAAGAATATGGAAGATACATGAGATACGATGAATCACGTGTCATACCGGTAAACGACCAAGTGGTGTTCTTCAGAATTGGCTGTGAACAGAAGTGTTGAGCCTCAAAAATAGGCTTCCAATCAATCACCCAAAGCATCCCAGCGCACTCAAACGAGCCTCCCAAACTCCAGCTATCTTCCACATGGAGTTCCCCCCCAAAAAATGGATTCACTCTGATTCAACTCTTCAACTCTGATCTGGTCCCATCTGGTTGGTTGATCTGTTCTGCCCTTGGCTCCTGCAGCCACCTCCTCGGACTCGGAGCTCGTGGTCGCTGCTCTCGGGTCGTCTGTGAGGAGGCACTGGAGGGCGTTGGGTGCGCCTCAAGGACTTCTGGATTTGGAACCAAAAGGAGGCCGAAAAAATGCGAAATGATCGAAAATGATGAATTTACAAGGAGTCCTTTGCCTGAACAGCTATGAAAATTATCTTATGTTGTCCAAAAATGCCAGAGCGGCTTCGGTCTTCCCCGTTTCCAAACATCCTGGCCTCCAAGGTGCCTTTCCCTTCGATCTGATCCACGCGCTCGGTTAAGGAAGCCAATGCCTTTGAAATGGCGCCTGGAAGATCTGCAATGGCAGACTCTCGTGTCACTGGAGCTGGGAAGGTTGTTCCACATGGCCTAGTTCAGCGCCATGGCGGTCTCCCTCACCAGCGCTGGAAAGCTCATCCACTTTTGTGCAAAGCCTACGGGGAGGACAAGTCCACAAGGACAAGTGGAGCACAAGACTCAAATTGGAAAACCATTCAGTGCCATGCAGCCTCCAATGTTCTCCTGTTTTTCTTGTGATGCTGTTGTTCAACAGTGGAACCCGTGGCACCCGTAGAACCCGTGGAACCCGGAACTTTGGTGCCCGCTGCAGATCGCCAAGACATGCCAAAACATGATATCAAGGCAAGATGCATACTCAAAGCATCCGCCACCGTCGCAACTTCACGCCGGGCAGCCCCTGCCTGGACTTGTCTAAAATCAGAGTGCAGATCTTGCGTTCTATTGATTTGTTTCTGGTCAGTCTATCATTCTGAGAAGTCATAGAGATAGGGCATAGAGGATATGGAACTCCAGTGGAGGACAGCCCCCAGCCTCAGAGGTCTCAGAGGTCTCGCTGTTTTTCAGCTCCAGAATCATCGTTTTCAGCTCCTGCAACTCTTTGGCCTGACCACCACACTTCAGAGGCTTGGCAGGTTAAGCTTTGCACAGCATTGGGCACCTGCTGCTGTTGACACTGTTGAATCGGCTGAAGCAAGGCCGCAACAGCCTCAACAGCCAGAAGGACATGGAAGTTGAACAATGGTTTGGGGGAACTTTTGGCTAAGGGGACGCAAATATGTTCAAGTTCTGATCCCTTTTTGTGGTTCAAAAGCTCAGGGTCCAGCGACTTTGTCCATTGAGCCCTTGGACTTCAGTGACAGCCCATAACGACTTGTATTTCGAACATGATCATGCAAAGGTATGAAGAATGCCATGATGATAATGATTGACAATTGATGGATATATATATATATATTATATATATATCGTGCCGGAAGAATAATTGCAACTTCAAAATCTGTCCGTGTTCAGACCATTCCCGAGGTGGGGACAACATGTTCTGGACAAGCCTTGCCGTCGGAAAATGGCGCTCCGAAGAGTTTTTGTTGATACCATATTAGCCATATATTAGCCATATATTAGCCATATTACTGGATGTGTGCCAACGTTTGAAGCCGCACCTGGTACATGTTGACCACGCCCTGCGTGTCGGGGTCTTGATGGAACCTAATAATTTGACTTGCATGGGATATCAATGGCTTCCAATGTCCATTTTTTTTTTTGAACATCCGCAGTTGAAGTTATGATTAATTAAAGTTGTGGTGGTTCGGCAGGGTCTGCCCCAACTGGTTTTGGACATGTCATCAGTTTCAAGGAGTTCCTCCACAAGTTTGGCCCGGCCCCGCCTGAAGTGACGCACTCAGTTCCCCCTGCTGCCCTTGAATCAGAGACACCGAGGTCTCAAGCGCACTCAAACGCGCAACCTCAGCAGCTTGTGGCTTCCAAATGCTGAAAAAATCACGAAGAGAACAACCTTAAATAAGGATAAATAAGGTCCTTATCAAATCTTATCAAGTCATCCCAGGGATTTGGGCAAGCTTGGCCAAAGCCGGGACCAGTGCAGGTGAGCGAGAGTGATCTTCTGATTCTTCTGTTTCATGTGGTGCAGCCACTGGCTGAGGGCCGCGCGGGCTGCGTGACTTGCTGAATCTTTTCACCTCAGGGCCAGAGAGCAAAGAACACCACAATCAAATCAGCATCCAAATGGCCACGGAGCATTCTCCAAGCCAACCTTCCAGTCAGATCAGTCAGCTTACCGCATGTCACCCAGCACTTTTCCACTACCATGTGCTCAACCGGCCCACGCCCTGCCAGAGGGGTCAAGCAACGAATCTCCAGCTGCATCGTCTCTATGAGCTGTTGCTTTTGACCCATGGCATTGAGAGCCTCTGCCACCTGGCGCCAAGGCTGAGATTGGATGGTCATGTGGAATATGCACGTATCAAAACGGACGTGGCATGTTGAGGGGTGCTGGGGAGGGCTGTGTGTACGAGTCAAGACTCTCTGCCAGATTCTCTGGCGGATATCCCAAATAGGCACAAAATATTCAAACATATTTTGATGGTATGTATTGTATAGGCTGTATAGGTTGATATAAGTTGACCACCATGCTCATATCCCGCCAACCCCCACATGGGACAGGACCATCTTCCACTGTACCTGCCGCTTCTCCGCTTGCAGAACTTGGAATTGGCCCTGCAGTGATTGAACCGATGCAGCCAGGTCCTGGTCATGGCTCTGGGCCCAAAAACAAAGCCACAAGCCCAAGCGAAATAGTTGAAAGGATCAATATGTGGCTTTGATTTCCAAGAATTTTATGGATGCAACCAGTTTACAAGCAGGGTCACAAAGCGAAACATCAGTTTCAGCCGGTTTGGATGGAAAACCATGGAAAACCATGGAAAACCATGGAAAACCCAGCCCTGTGCCTGGTCCCGGGAAGCCTGGCAGAGACAGGAAGGCCGACTCGGCCGAGCACTTTGAAAGTCGCCCCAGGCCTGGCTGGAATCCGCCGAATCGAGGGTTGCCTTCAGACAGTCGACACTTTTCTGAGATGCAGCGCACAGGCCGCGCAAATGCAGAACCACACAGGTCTACCGAGTCTACCGTTGCACGGCCGTGTCGAACTTCACTATTCGACTATTCCATACTTTTCAAATGGTCGCCTCCATCTTTCGCAACATCTCATTGAATTTTGCCTGACAAAGGATCCATACGGTCCAAGACATTCCACGATTCTATCAGACATCATCAGACTCTGTCTCAAATTCAGTGCTTGGGAAAGTGGTGCTGGATGTGCAGAACCTACAGCACTGCCTCGGTTTCTCGCATGCGCTCCATTGCGCAGGCCCCGTTCTCCTTCAGATCAACGCAGATTTGCAGCGAGAAATATGGAAGAAATCTCTCCCGACTGGTCCTTCTGAGCCTCCAAAGTTCCACATCTGTCACTGATCTCCTCCACACCTCGCCTCCAACACACTCTCCACTTTGAACAAAGAAATCTCATCAAATATCCTCGTATCATCTCACATCCAATGTTTCATTTGGAAAGTCCGACCCCTGCAGATATGTATATAGAATTATATATATATATATAGGTGTGTGTGATAACGACTTTCAGTCCCAAAACCGGGCTTGCAGATTGACAGCATCCACGGATCACTTCAGATTCTGAGCAGAAATGTGCCTGAGCGCATTGAGCATGGCGTCCGTGGCACTGTCAGTGGCATTGCGGGCCTCTGCCACCTGACAAAATCAAGGATATCAAGGGATTGAAAGCGACTCACCTGGTGTGTCTGAGAGTAAAGCTCGTTACACGAGTTACAAGACACAAAATGACACAAGTACATTACTCATCATTACTCTGTATCCTGGTTCTGTGACACCTCCTTGATTCTATCACCCTCAACGTTTTACTAGCATGTGCGAGCTTTCTCATCACGGCTATCCGTGGCTTGCTCCTGCTAGAGATCTCTGGCTGTCACGCATTTGCGTGAAGCGCGGGAGATCATGGGAGCAAAAGCAAAGTGGATTGTAGATCCACGGCAAAATTAAGGGCTCTCTGCAGATCTCTGCAAGAAATTCCAACTGCAGAACGCAGAAGTGCGATCGCACCATTCTGAAGATACCGCATTCTCCAAAAAACGTTGCGACGACAGCCACTGAATGGTGATTTCCATGAAACAAACACACCACGACCAGATCTTTTCAGCCCCTCGCAAACACACCACGGGCCGCTGTCAGGACTCTGGACCTTTCAGAATGCCGCTGCCTGCAAATCGCAAAGGTTTGAATCGACCCAGCTCAGATTGCTCAAATTCTGTGTGAGAGACAGACTTCCCCAATTTGAGTAGAATCATGTAGGATCTAGTCAGTAGATCTTGACGACCTTTGGTGTCCAATACACGAACAATACCAAAACGTTGCTGTCTGCGAAAACCGTGGCGGCCTTGCACTAGGCCCTGACTATTCCAAGCCCAGGTCTTCCGCTAATCCAATGCTGCGAATCTCCTGGATAAAAGGTACCGACTTGGTGTGTATTGTCAGCCCTCGAGTGCATAAGTGGGTCGATTTTTGGCAGGCCTATACTCCGATACTCAATAGGTATAGATAGATAGATATTGATATTGACAATGAGTCCAGAATACAGTAGGCAACACACTGAGTACAGTATACAATAATATACATATATATATATATACATATGTTACATATGTTGATCTATTCACTGTGATTTCCTTATTGATCTTATCAGCTCCAGCAAAGATTTTGTGAAAAAATTGCCAGTGGCTCCTGCAAGCTGAGGTCTCTTAGGTACCTGCCGAGGAGGAAGCCATTCTGCGGGGAGTGTGCATCGCAACTTAGACTACTATTGAATATCTGTGCGTATATATATATATATATATATCATATATATATATATACTACTATGACATATAATGTTGTAGGTGTCGTGTATACATATATATACTATTATATACTACACAATATACAGTCTATCATCCGAGTTGCTGGCGTTGCCAAGACATCCGTCAAAGCAACAGCATTGGTATCTTCCTCTGATTTCGTCTGTTGGATTCTGATTGTGAAGCTTCTCGGAGACCAGGATGAGAAACGACATACCCGAGCATACACTTGCATACCCTTCATGCTCATGGTGAAACTTGGCCCTCGGCGCACCTGTCATGATCCAAATCGATCCTGCGTCCAGGACACGGTCGTATCCCGATCGATGAATGGATGACTCACATCTCAAAACCCAGAAATTCCAATGGCCCAATGTCCTCAGCACACTGTTCTGTGGTCGTCGCACGCAATAGCTCCCCACCGCTGTCCACGGCCGCGTCACAGGAGGGCCATACTCCTCAAAAAAGACACAGAAACAAAAGCGCATAGCACTTCTGGCAGCATCTGGCAGCCACATGTGAAATTGGAGAAGTGCCTCCCTTTTGCCACCTCACCCCCACAAGATTCGCTCCGACGTTGCCATTTGGTAAGGTTGGACGGAGAAGAGTTGTCCTGGTTCAGAATCAAGTTTGCGGAGGAATTCGGCAGTGCTCATTGCTCATTTTACCCAAGTTGTCAAAGTATGTCAAAGTTGTAGGGCTGAATTTGATTGATGCGTTTTGCAAATTTTGGAACATGCCTCAATTCATCAATCCATAGCCCAGCATAGAGTGGCCACCTGCTCCATCTTCCTTCACATCCATAATACGGCCAATCATGTGACCTCGGCTCTGACAGGCTGGAGGATTTAAAACATCTCCATGTTTTCTTGCTTTTTAAATATCTGAAAATCAACACTTGGATCATCTGAAACCACCATAATTTTAAGCTGGTCAGCTGCTGGTGAAATATTCCCATCAGAAATCCCAAAGTTTCATCAGTCCACCGGCTGTGGCCGCTGTCTCCCCACCTTTCGCTTCACCAGGCTCCTTCTCCCAGACCTCGAGGATAGGATTCACTAGATCTCCCAGTTGGATCCAGTTGGGGTGTCGTCCCTAAACTTCACTGCTGATGTTTTTGCTGCTTCAATCTTGTCAAGCTGGACTCAAAGAACACTATGTTTTTCTGATTCCTTGCAAACAAGATGCTGCATAGTCTCGTAACATCAAGCCCGGAAGTTTCTCCAAATGCAACACACTGGCCTCAAGACCGGGCTGCTCGAAATGTGCACATCATCCCATTGCTGGGAGAAAAATTCTCCATTGGCCCATTTTTTCCCCAGTGTCCCGGTGGCCTGGTTACAGTATACTCAGTATACTGTAGTATACTGTATCATCATTCATGGGTCTGTCTAAAAATGGTGTATAATATTGTATAATTACAGCATGTACAGCATACAATGTATAAATCTATGGCCATCAAATGATAGGGAAAATGAGGTTCTAATTGGTAATCCATTGGAATTGGGGGTGTTCCCCCAAGTTTTCAGACACATCCAAAATATCCATCACAAATGAAGGTGTAAAATGGTGGTACCCAACAAATCATCCAAAGGAAAAGTCATGGATGACCATGACTTAGCATCTGTCAACCTATGGTGACTTGGGGATCCCCCCATGACTTCAGAAATCCCAAAGCATATCTCCATTGGGCCCTTCGGCTGTAACGAAGCGATGCCGCACGGGAAGGGTGAACAGCGGCTTCACCGCCTGCACCTGTGGAAAAGGCCAAATCTGTGAGGGGTCTCCGTTGAGTAACCGACAATCTCAACTAACATCCCAAAAAGAAAAAGAATGGTGAACATCCAATTGTTGTATTTTTAACTATCATGTGGTTGGGAAAGTCTCGGTAATAGTAGCTCCTTGGCTCCCCATGAAAAAGGAAATATATGGAGACCTCTCCTTAGCTCCCTAGCGCTGCAATTTCATGGTGTTTCTCACATCTGTTGGGTATCAGTTGGGTAAATTCAATGGTCGAGCCTTAAAGTAGTTGCCATTCTGGCCACTATGGCCATCCAACCGCACCCGCACGGTGGATCTGTGGGAGGCCTGCATTCAGAGCTGATTGCATGTTAGTTTGCAGGGCAAACCGGAACCGCAACTCCCACAAAGTTGAAATCTTTGCCGTGGGTGCTCGCCACTGTTGAAATTGTGGCCTGCTGCCTACCTCAGACTTCCTGCAAATAGATCCATTTAAGTCTTGCATTCATCTCAGACCATGTGCGGTAGGGAAAGAAGTGTCATTCGTGTGATTCATGTGCCATCAACTCCAAAATGGCCTCCAGCACTACTCCGTGCTCACCCACCTTGTAGGACTCCTGCCACTTGACCCACTGAATCCAGCAAAGCAATGCAACGCAATTCATTCCCCATCCTCGTGGTGCACAGGGTTGTGCCGGTGCACTTTGACCACTACCCGATCCTCAGTCGTCATTGGCATCATCGGCATCGGCATCATGTCACAGAGCTAAGGGAACGACCCCAGCTTCGAAGCTGAAACTGCCCGTCATTGCTGCGGTGAGGGGAAAATCCCTGTGAATCCTAAGACACCTAAGACAGGTTGCAAACCTGCATCTAGATGCATCATGATGCATCTAGGACATTGGCCGTTGCAGGACTGGAACTTTGGAGTCAAGTTGAAGGAATTTGGAAGAGATTGCAGAGATGCTTTGTGAAAGCTTACCTCAAAGGTTGCCCTTCTGCTGGTGCGTGAGTCCTCCTCTTTTTCTTGGGCTGTGAGATCAAAGCTGCGGCGATCAGCAATGCAACACTCCAACTCTGTAGCTGAGTGCCATTGGGTGCCCTGTGATATTAACATTTCCAGGAAGAGGTTCAAGACCTTCAATCCAAAGTGTGGTGTCTCATTTACCATATCATTGATATACCCCTTTGAACCTAAACTCTATCAGTTGCTTTTCACGTATATCATGACTGCCTCATATGTTTTTTCTTATCGAGCCCAACTCAAGCATCATATCTAATACATAACATAGAACCACAATTATACAGGCCAATTAGGGTCTGGTCCAACCAAGCGATTGTCTAGTACATAGCAACTATATCATGGCAACTTCCAGGAACTCGCACCGTTTACCCTAACTATCACTTAATTATCATAACATCTACCAAATAACTATAACCATATCATTTACAGTCATTGCTTACATCCTAACATATCGTAACTGACATGTGGTGAATAAGTCCCCTATGATAGGATACCACAACTCTCATAACTTATCATCCTAGCATTTACCAAATAGCTACAACCATATCATGTACAGTCATTTACCATAACTATCAGAACTTATCATACTAACATGTCACAATCTCTTCTCTGACTCTTCCCAGAATGTTGCTGCATCTGTCCATAAGTTTGACTTCTAAACTTCCTTCGACGATATTTTTTCTATATAGATAGGTATAGATAGTTGTAGATAGTTATAGTATGTCATTAATGTTATAGATGTATATATAGTACTATGATTATAACTAATGATAGAATATAGATTATAATAATAGTTATAATAATCATAATGTTATAGAATCATTGATGTTAACATATATTATAACACTATGATTCTCTATCATTCCGTTGGCTCCGGCCTGGCTCATGGAGGTCAAAGCGTGATTCAAACGCGCTTCCAGGTCCTGCACCTGGAAAAAATGGATTTTCGGCCGGGGCCACTGGTCCTTCAAAAATTGGTACATATATGGTACATATCCTTAAAAATGGTGGATATATCTAGATATAACTATAGATATAAGTTAACTGATGTTCACTAGTCTTGATATATGTGTTAGTGATGTTTAATGGGGGAAACGCCATCAAATTGCCGTTTTGAATGGTGAAAACAGGGCCAAATTTGAAATGTTCACGGGGAAAATGATCATCAACCATGGAATTTTGGGATACTGAGGCACTATTCAGGTATATGTTTGGGTTTATAAAAACAGCATATTCGCATCACAGTTCTTGGAGAGCAGTTGCTGCACAGAAAAAAATCCGTTCGGTGGAGCGCCTTTAGTGCGAGGGCTTCACGGCCTGCAACGACGGGGTTTTCCATAGTGGGGATACCCCAAAACGGAACGGAAAATGTCATTCAAATGGATGATTTAGGGGTGCCCCCATGACCCCCATGGTGCCCCCATTTTAGGAAACCTCCAAATGGAAATCGAATATGGTGTTTCCCTGCAACTTTTCTCGTAGAATTGCCAGAGCAATGATGGCAGAAAGTCTTGGAAATATCTTCAGCCTCAAATTGGTATAACTTCTCTCCTGGGAAAGTCTGAGGTTCCTGACTCGCTTGTTCCTTTCTCAGTTCCGGCTGGAAGTCGGGAGCTTGAGAAGCGCTAAGCACAGAACCTGCAGGCACTGCAGGTGAAAGCCCAATGCGCCAGGGACACTCGAAGGGCTTCGACTGGACCTGGCCTGCATTGCTTGGCACGGGCTCAGGGCTCTTGGCCACACTCTGGGTCACTTCCTTGCGAATTTGCTGTGAAACCACACATGCCACTATAGATCACTATAGTATGCAACAGAAAGTGATACCAGTGGAATGGATGATGACTGATCACTGATTCCCTTATCCCCTTTGGAGCAAGTCAACTCTGTTTCCTTCTCTCTCCCTAGAGATTCAAGGAAATGCCGAAAGACATAGAGTTTAGGAGCTTAGGCCTTAGTAGGTAACCCAACTGGCTTGCAGAGGCAGATTTTCAGCTACCTTTCAGATCCTTTCAGCACATCTTGGCATTGTTGTGAGACTCGGATTGCATTCACTGCCACTTTGGAACTGGTGAACCTTTGATGCACCGGTCGGACTGCCTGATGCAAGAAACGACAAGTCTACCAAGATTTGCAACTGCCATCTCATCCACATCTCACTTTCTCGCATCAAGCTGGCAGCAACATCTATCAAAATCCTTCCACTGCACTTGTTCTCACCCTCCTTGCCTCCTGGCTGCATGGTTTCACAGAAAGTCAAGCCCTTGAGAACAGAAGGGTGTGATAGTGGACACGACACGATATTGCTTGGCTCTTGTGGCCGCAGCATACTTGGTGCATCCATTGACACCGTGTGTGCTACCTTGCTGCAAAGAAACAAATCAAACAACTTTCTTGCTATGTTAGCTTTCCGAATACACTAGCAGTTAGATAAGTTACATACTGAATGAAGATGAATAATTAGAGTAGAAAGTACTGAAGATATGACTTTGCCTGCAAAAGCACTGGCAATGACCTGTTTGCACTTGTGTATATAGACATCACACAAGGGCGGTAAAAATCTACGGCTTTGGTGCAGTGAGATCCTATGCCTACTGCGGGCCACAAATCTCTGAGTCCAAACTTATATCAGCGCTACCTTTTGAGCTAGTCAGCTAGTCTTGGAGGCCAGCTGACTTCGAAAAACAACCGCCTGACCGGCTGATTCCGGCTGGCGTACGTTTCCAAATGCCAAGCATGTCAAGGCATTGGATAATTGCGAGATGTTACGAGTAGGTATTGTGATGTATTGTGAAAGGCGAAACATCAACTCTGATCTGGATAGAAACAATGTTTCACGGCTTTATGCCAGCAGTTTATACAGAGATTGAAGAACGACGAAGAACGAGCAAAACTCAGGCACTGGAGGTTTGTGAGTTTCGTGGCGGAGCCTTAGGGCGAGATGTGGCATGTTGGGAACTGTGGAAGCTTCGGCGACTCGCTAAGGCTCCTGCCCCAAGTTGTGGCAACCAACGTTTCGCAGGTACGCTCGGTGAGGCACTTCCGCTCTCCTTCATGTTGCACAAGCTCAAAATGCACAGGTTTGCGTGGCAAAGGCAGCCAAATCATGATGTGCAAAGTGCAAATGCGTGCAGTTTGAAACAACCGACAGTCTGATTGGTAGTCCTTGGCAAAGCTATTCAGCACCTGTGTAAAGTCTGCCAGGTTAGCCGAGAGCTTATCTACACTCGTCACGATGGCTTCCTGGGACAACACTCCTTTAGCCAAACGCCAAGAATATAAGAGTTCTACGTGACGCCTTGTCGCCACCCTCATCTTCCTTCAAACAGGATGTCAAAGCCAAAACATGCAAAAACGACAATATGTTGGCCTTTTCTGGCCACTGTGAGTGGATGCACAAATAAACGATGATACCTCTACAGTAAGCCCAGAAGTACGAAAAATCTATGCTGCCTGCAATGCTACAAGTGGAAACCGATGGAAACCGCACTCGACCAAGTCACATTGCGATGCGCCACGGTCTGTTCCAACGAGTCCAACCTCTTGGTTAGTTGCGCAGAGATACGTTGCAGCGCATAGTCCAAAGAAACCACATGTTTGGTGTTCAGGCTCTCCTGCACCAATCATCACCATAGTCATCACCATAGTGACATGTGTGTTGTTCATTGGCTGAACATCTAAGGGCGCGCCCAAAAAAAGAGTTACCCTCTGTGAATCTAACCTGGCACTGGAAAATCCCTCATGATTCATCGATTCTTCCCATTAAAATCATCATTTTTCATCACATTGAAACCACCATTTCGGGGGATTTTCCAGCCAGTCATGTTTCATTACCCGAGGCTAGTGGGATATCGCTTGTAACCTCTTATAAAATCTTATAACCATCAGGGTAATGGGATAAACCTTAACTGATATGATATAACCCAGTTATAACTTCCAAGTTTCAACCGGTGATTCTCCACGGTTGAAGCGTTTCTTTTTTGTGACAGCTGTCCTGCAGTTGTGACAGACCCGCCGTGAATTCGTCGATGGACAGCTCTCCATCCTCGTCCACATCCAACATCTCGAAGGCCTGGTTTCTCATGGTCTCCTAAAAAATGGGAGGATTTGCCTTTCATTGATGGATAGTTAATGATAGCTATGGCAAGTTACAAAACCATGGCAAAACCATGGCAAAACCATGGTAAAAACGTGGTAAAGTGGAAAAGCATCAGATGTCGTGGCTAGCCCAAGCTTCAAAAGAAAAACCGGATGCACTTGGAGCACCAGAGTGCCCAGGCCCCGGCCTTTTCAAGTTCTTGCAGTGGGAGCGTTACACCCAAATCCTCCATCTTGGCTACGACCTGCTGGAACTCACTGGAACGATTTCACCAAATGACCAAATCTGGAAATGACACAAGGAGATTCGCAAACAGCAAGATTTCGCCAATTGTGCCATTGTGCCACCTGCTCATCTTTGATGAGGGTCCCAAACTCCTCTTTGTCCAGGACTTGGTTTCCTTGTGGTACAAGTTGTGCTTGTACTCTGCTTGATGTCATTTCGAGTTTCAGGGAGGACCTCTGACCAAACCTCTAGTGCTTTCAAGGCACCATCTGCATCAGCATTGACAAAGCAAATCTGAGTTGCACAAAGCGCATCTGGAAAGACCAGTTATATGTTTAAGCTTTTGTTCTTCATTCTCTCTCAAATATTGAGCCAAAATGAGCCAAAGCTATCCAACTTTGCCTTAGATTGTGGTGCTTGCAATGGAACTCCATGGAGGCGTCCGTATCGAAAATTTTGAGAAACTGACATGTGTGTTTAAAGTTTAAAGACGAAAAACTTTCAGGAAGTCCACAAACTCTTTGCGTCTTCGCTCTTGCGCCTCCGATCAGGAGGTTGTGAGAGAATGGGCATCCACGTTTCGCGCAGCTCTGTAAGAATCTTTAAGAATCTTTAAGAAATCTTAGCTTACAACGGAATTTCTGTGAAATACTGTGACTTTCTGTTGTAGCTTCAATGCCAATCTCAGAATAAACTTCTGTTTCCGACACTTGTATTCAAAATGTCCTGATTCCGCAAAAGTCCTACAATTGCTACTCCATTTGTTGTCACCGGGCAGGTCAGCACAGCTTCAGCAGCACAGCTGTGCCGGCCTCTTTCTGCTTCTCCTTCCGGTCCTGTGTGGCCTGGATAACATTGTCTGACACCACTGCAGTCACCAGGGAGATCATCGTCCACGCCTTTGCGGTGCAGTTGAAATTGCAGTGTCAAGGAGAGCTCTGACATCATATTCATCTCATATTCATCTCACGTCGTTCACGTCCCATGCCCAGCTTTGAGACAGGAAGCTGAGAACGCAATAAAAACCACGAAAAACATTCGCCACCAGAGACCTCGGTCCGTCGATCCACAGTGTTATGGCTGACACCGACACCGGCTGGCGTCCGGCCAAATGGCTGTGCTGCAGCAGCGGTGCGGCGAT